GTGGGGGGGTGGGCGGGGCAAGAGCACAAACCTGTCGATCTGTCCCTCCAATTTGGTGATGGATTATTGTCTCTTTGAGTTAGGTACAAACGAACAACAGTTTTGAAAGCCAGCTGTCATTCATGGATTATTGTAGCTCTTGGGTGTCTTCTGCTACTTGTTGTATCTTCATTAGCTGGATGTTGAGGTCCTCTGTAACATTAGGGATGTAAACAGAGCCGTCAGTACAGGAGAGGTTCAAACAGCCACAGAGTCCATTCTGATGTATTTGCAGTAAGTCTAGTCCGTGCAGTTCTGCAGAGCTAACGTTGAGGTGGCTTGTAATTGATTGTTGAGCAGATGCAGACTAGCATCGGTAGCATTGTTACTGATTTTATTATCAATTAAAATTAAATTGTTTGATTTTAATATAAATATAGAATTAAGGGATATATTAGTAAAATAATTTAACATTTATTGTATTTTGAATCTAGCAACTGACTGCTACTCTAAAATCCCCTGTACAGCCCTGTACTAAGGCTGAAGGGGCTGGTCATAATTGTTTAGTAGGAACGGTTAGAACCTAGGTAACAAAACATGAGGTGATTTGTAAATTGATTTATAATACATACATAGGACTAGAAGAATGCAAGTAGTTGTCAAGGTCCAGGATTAATGGGAACTGAGGGAAGTAACCGTAACAGCTTGCAGGTACCTGCCAAGAAAACTGTGTCCTTAGGCAAAAGGTCATTCCAGCAGGGGGAGATCCCGACCACTGACCCATGGACCACCTACTCACATTACACCCCAGACCCATTTCTAGACATTTCTAACCTCTACTGCACAGAATTGGAAGTAGGAGGAGAATATGTTAATGATTTCTTGGAAGTTGTATGCTTATGTATGAAGACTTAATGAATATGTATAAGTAAGTTCTATATAAGGTGTATGATTCTGGTGCCTGGCACGTGTTGTTGGTGAGAGCACTCCCCTACACGTCCGGCTGTCAATAAAGAAGTGTCTGCTTATCTGCATCACATTGGTGTCGATAAGTTATTTTTATCCCGGATTTCGGTGACAGCATTAGCTAATTTCTCTACTTGATAAGATAATTTGCTTAACCATGTTTGCATCTGTGTGGTGGCATATCCAAATGTCCAAAGCCCTTCTAGTCCCCAGGCTAGGTGAGTGGCCACCCCTGGGTCTTGCCATCCCTCTACATTTCCCTCTCGTGTTATTCCTTCCCCTAAGCCATGGGTGGTTGGAATGGGGGCAGTTGTTCATCGTCAGTCTGGGATACTGGCAACCTGCAAAAACAAAAGGAAGAATCGCTCGGTTTATATCTAGCCGGCGCACAGTGGGGTAAAAAGAGGGCATTATCCATCTGGCATTGTTCTGATGGATTTTCCCAGAGTTATCCTTTGCTTCCCAAGCATAGAGATTCTTTGGAGTAGTTACTACCATTGCTACCATTCCAATCTGTGGTAGCTTGACTAACATAGGTTGTCCTGCATGGAAACCCCCTAGATATTCTCCAGGTTTCTTATGGACCTGTGGTGCTAGAGTTGTAGCAGTAACACAAAAAGCTCTTATCTTGGGACAGCCATTTCCACTCCATCTATTGTTTAACTGATAGATGACATTAGAGAGTCAGAAATGCCATCCAGTCTCATGGGTTTTAGCAAATGCTTGACCAGGCCCTTTGTTCTCTCAACAATACCATTAACCTGGGGATAGTATGGAGTGTGAAATACCCAGCCAATACCTTTTCCATTTGCCATTCTTGTACTGTTGCAGCAGAAAAGGGAGTCCCATTATCACTGTGAATCTCTTCTGGAAGGGGTAAGGTACTAAACCATTCTCTCAGACTAGGGACTGTATTTTCTCCAGTGGCAGCAGTGAGAGCTGTGGCCATGGTAATTCCTGAAATAACTTCTACTCCCACCAGGATATATTTTTTTTCTCCTGAGGGTCGTAGAGGGCTTACGTAATCTACTTTCCAGGCGTGCCACAGCGTTTTCCCATCCTGGATGTGTAAGGGAGGTGCTTTACCCAGATGATCTTTTCTGAGCTGTAAGTGACAGTGTGAACAGGCAGTTACTATTTGCTCACATAATTTCACAGAAACAGGCCATCCTCAGGCTATACCTTCCCGATACAGATCGGCTCGTCCAGGGTGGCCCCGTTTTATGTGTAGTCACTTAGTAATCATTCACGATCATCATTCACGATGCCCACTTGTTGCAACCAGGTAAGGCTGTCAACTCGCTGATTACGTCGAGCAGCGGTTGATGTTGCTGGATCATGTCCTTTCACCCATCCGATACGTAATGTTCACTGTTCTCTTTCTAACAACTGTTTCCAGCTGTCAGTCTGCCAGAATGGGACTCTATTCACTTGCCAACTGTTAACTGCCCCGTGGCCTATCCACTCTGTTGCTCCTTTACAGACTGCGCCTTGATACCGAAAATCCGGTTGAAGAAAACTCTCTAAGACTCCAAGTCAGAGTATTAGAAAGCAGTCATTCTTTATTGCAGCACTGGGTGCACGGGGGATTCCTCACCTAACATGCACACCAAGCCTCTTAGGTTTACAACTTAAATGTAGGTACCTTACACATATTCATAGGGTTGCACAACACAAACATACATATTTACTATTAAGGTGTGGTTAGTCCAAAAAGCTATGTCGGCAATTTTAAAGCAATTATGTCACTCTTGCGCCTGCTCGTTGCTTCCTGGTGGTGGTCTTCGGGGCTCCTCAGGAGGAAGGCCAGTAGTCTTCCTCATCACCTCATCCCCAGTTTTGACATCGCCAGCCCCTAAAAAGCAGATCCTTCTGACTAAATCCTCCATCGCCCACCTTATCTGAAATGTGATGCGCATCCTTGGGTCTGGACTCATTCTTTTTGACCATAAATGTCCATTATATTCTGTTGCCAGGGATCTCATGTAGTTCAGTTCACTCCCATGATCTGCCCTTTTTGAGTAGGTTGCCAAAGGATGAGTGATAATAGAGAAGCCAGGGATCCGTTTACACCAATAGCCTAAATTCCCTGAAACTTGTAATTCTTTTTTACTAGAGAGATTCTGTCCGTTTTCTAATTTTTCTAAGGTGTCAGGGGGAACAGAAGGAGCTCCTTTAATCCACCAGACTCCTAGGAATTTAAGCTCTTGTACTGGCCCTTGACACTTGGATGGTGGAATGTGCAGTTCCAGAGCTGTCAATCTTTGCTGTATATTTTCCATGGCATGCCTGATTTCATCAGGGTTTCCCCCTCGTGTTAGTATATCATCAATGTATTGATACACTGTAACACCTGGCGGATGAGAGATGTCTGCTAAATTTTTCGCCAAGGCATTGTGAGCAATGCTGGGGGAATGTTTGTACCTCTGAGGTAACCTCTTGAAGGTGTACTGTATTCCTTTCCAAGTAAATGCAAACTGATCCTTATCTCGTTCCCGAAGTGGGAGCATGAAAAACATATCTTTGATGTCTAGGGTTGCCATCCAGGAATGAGATGCTCCCTGTATCTGAGTTACGAGTTCGGCTCTATTTGGCACACCGGCTGTCAGCGGAGCAGTGTTAGCGTTTGGTTGTCCGTAATCGACTGTAAGTCGCCACTGTCTGTCGGGGTGGGCAGCGGGTCTGCTGAACGCCTGGCAGAGCAGATGGAATTTAACCTCAGCCAGATCATCCCGTACCCATGAGAAGTATGCATGCAGGAGGACATACCACAGATAAGGAGCAAGGACAGCGAACATCTGCTGGAAGAAACATGAAACTGTTGAACGCAGATAAGGAACTGTGTTAATCATGTTCAGAAGTAAAACTTTAAGAAAGCTATCCAAGCATGTACCGTTGCTATGGGTGTACCGTTGCTATGGGTTTAGCCAATAATGTTAGAGCTTGCGGTAGTTGTAAAAGATTTATAAAGTATGTAGAAAACAATAAACACACTTCTTCTTCGTCTTCTTCTTTTACTCCTAACTTAATTGTCAATTGTCTCATGACCGTCTCTACCACGACAATTGGAACATAGGGGATTTTTTAAGAGCTGCAGGGCGAGGTGCAGCGGAGACGGAGACCGGTGAAGCTGAGAGCAGAGGGGATTCTGCCTGGTCCGGACCTGACATTTTGACACCTGCGTACAAGGTGAGCCACCGGGGAAAACTTATTAAGATATAATATGGGGCAGCAACTAAGTAAAGAAGAGGAGACAATTTTGTCTGCCTGGAAAGCCCTTTTAAAAAGAGAAAGGGGTAAAACCCCAGAACAAAGCCTGAAGAAAATGTTGATATGGAGTAAGACGCAAGGCTTTGAAGCTAATGTAACCACTGCATTTAGTGTGACTGTATGGCAGAGAATAGGCGAAAAGCTATGGGATGAAGTTTCAAAAGGACAGAAAGAAGCGTGTGAGCTAGCAACTACATGGCGCGTGCTAACTGAGACCCTGAAGGAGTGGAAAAAGGAACATGACGCTGAAGGAAAGAAAGAATCCACTCCTGCCTCTAGTTCATTTGGTCCTGGGCTCCGTTATGGTGATCCCACACTGCCCGCAGTGGCGGGACGAAAACCATTGACAGGAAGAAGCAGGGGGCATTCTCGTCCACCTCCACCCCCCCTGTGCCGATACAGGAAGACCCTGGAGGGGCTTCTCCCTCGCAGGATTCTGATACACCAAACGTAACACCATCAGCTCCTCCCGAGGAGCCAGCAGTACGTAGTGAGTCTGACAGAGACTCTGAGGGCGGTGAACCCGACACTAAAGAATTTACTGACAATTTGTGAGCATTGAATCTGGCTGATAAACAGACAGAACAAAAAGCTACGCCATGTACACTCCCTCCAGCCGCTGTGACTGTCCTTCCCAGGTCCCCAGAGCAGTTTTGGGAGGGTGAGGGTGATAATGAGAGTGATGAAGAAGGAGAATTAAGTGCCGCTATGCAAACTTTATCAGCACCGCGCTG